GTTTTTCCCACTTCAAAGGGAAATCTGCTGCTGCAGCAGCGCAGGACCGAGCGCAGCAACGCGCTGAACTGTTCACTGGCACAGCTGGTGTCAGCTGTCCATTTGCTCAGTGCTTGTTGTACCAGGGAGATTTCTAATTTAAAAAAAAAAAAACCACCCGCCCCTGTATTTGTCTTTTCACCCTGCCCGTTTTGGTAGTTACTTCACATTGTCTCTTTAAGTTTCGCGGTAAACGTTAATGGCAATTTGTCCAAAACAAAAAAAATCCAAGACTCTCATTTGGATTCCCGGCCGTGCCACGGCAATTCACAGCAGCCTCCCAGTTGCCAATGCTTATAATTTATTTACAATCTTATATGTATGCTGTCTATGTATACTATACTGACCCATGTACTTTAGCTTTCACTTTGGGGTGCACAGTGGTAACACACGACCCCATTTTCATTGAAAGCTCATGCAACCCTTTATGGTTAAAAACAAAAGAAAAACAGGGGGGGAAATCGTAACTATTTTGAGACTGAATTAAGATTTTCAAGTTGTTTGCAATATCGCAATCCTAGAAGCGTCAACATTGATACCGCTCAATAAAAACTATGTGTTTTACAAAGAATTAGGCCTTCTAGCAGAAATTTTCAGCTATGGAAAGCCCCAACCACCACCCTCGCTATCTTCCTTTCCCCAACATTTCGGTTTTCCGGCTCCTGCCTCCCCCCCGGTCTCGTCTATATTCTGAGCTCCGAAGGGTTAACGTCCTGGCACTTCTTCTGACGGGCATTTCCAAATCTCTCCTGGGGTCCACGCAGCGCTTACGCCAAAATGCTTTATTATCGTACAAACACAGAGCAAGGGGAGGGGAGGAAAACCACCACCGCCACCGCCACCACCTCCGCCGTTCGTCCTCCAAAACCCGGTCCCGCTCGCCGGTTCGAAGCTCACCGTACCAACCCCAAGCCTACCACCACCCGCAAGCGACATTCAAAGAGCAAAACCCGTGGCGTTTTAAGGAACAGAGGGCCCGGCTCTCCCGCCACCGGGCCCGGTTCT